GTTTCACTCGCCCAACGAACATTTCCCTATATTGTTTCATTCGGTTTTTGGCACGACGATGAATTCGCAAAGCTCGCTGAGGTATGGTTCTCTCGATTTGAGCTAGTTCCTATATAAATAATCGCTTTCTTCTGCTTGACAGCCTGTGCAACAATAAGGAAATCGATGCAGTTATGGACTATGTGAAAGATCTAATGTACTTTGGCATCAATGGTGATAAATTGGCCCAAACGGATATTGGCATCATATCGCCATATAAGAATCAGTACCAGCGCATCCAGGAGCAGCTCAACATGCGCAACTGGCATCAAATTGATTGTGGCTCGGTTGAACTGTTTCAGGGCAAGGAGAAGCAAATAATAATTGTTTCCTTTGTGCGCTCATTCACCGAAAAATTAGGATTTCTTAATAACAGTCGAGTGAGTTTGAATTTGACTATGATTACTATAGGAACATTATTATATGTTGATAAATTTTTGATCATTTTCAGCGTTTGAACGTTTTGCTATCACGTCCCATGTCTTTGCTTATCCTAATTGGTAATCCGCGCACGCTAAGCAAGAATCAGGAATTTCGTCATATTATCGACATGTGCAGGGATCGAAAAACGCTCGTCGGTTCCCCCTATTATCCGGATGATAATAAGATGAACGAGGCGAACGGCGGTGCGGCTCAAGCAGTTAATCCGACGCGTTCTGGCTTCCATCCGAATAAGAATCAAAATACTAATAACAAAAAAAATAATCTTAATTATCGGCAGCAGCAACAAACGGACGAAACAGCTGAAGACACGCTGGCACATTCATTCAAGCGAAGTAATAATAATCGTTGTCATAATTATCAATATCACCAAAGAAACCAAAGAAATCGTGATAGTGATCATAAATGCCTATATACAAATGCATATGCAGGATCTTTAGCATTTCGAATGATCCCATAATAGTACATATCTATATACATATATATATGGATATATATGTGTGTATATATAAGTATAGTATATATTTATATATAGATATGTATTTATGGATTGAAAACGAGTTGAATCGACCCAAAAATTCACAGACCTAAATTGTGTCAATAGCATGCGTTTTAGAAGTTTTCAAGATCGGCGTAAAAAATTCCATTCCACATCTAACATCACATTCCACAAATCCTTTATAATATAATATATGTGTACATGTATATATGTATAAATATATATATATAATTTTTTGATATATATGTATATATGCACATAGAGATATATGCATTCGCAATATATTGCACCGGGATTCGGTTGTTGGCGTAAAGCACCAAGGCGATTCCGATAATGGGGAGCTATTGCAGTTCTTGCAGTCCATGTTAATAATAAATTGGCATACGCATCTTTTGATCATGCACGTGATATATGCTCCTTTGGCTAATTCATTTTCGCACTTATCCTGCTTATCACGTTCATAGCGTTCACGTATCTCGGGTTGTTTCTTTTCTTTCTTTTGGTGAACGACGAAATGTGTAAAACATACCTCTAAATGTATCAATTTTCTTCTATTTTTTTATTCAGCTAATGTACGCAGTAAGCCCTTGTCGGCGGCTACAAAGATTGGCTACAATAAAGCCGAGCTGCTGTCAATGGGCGCCCAGGCGACTCAGCAGCACAAAAAATCGGATCTGGACCAGCTGTTCGATGAGCTACCCAGCGTGCCGCGTTATGTGGACAATGAGTCCGAAACCGTGCGCTCCATTCGAGCAGACATGCAGCGTATGTCTCTTAGCCGTCCGTCCACTGCGACTGCTACCAGTAAACCAGCTGCCCAACCAATACAACTGACTAAAACACCAACACGCACCGAAACGGCACGGCCATCTACTGATGTTGAATATGTGGTCGGCGTTGAGGCAATCGATGGGGCATTCGCACCTAGTGCACCACCGGGTAGTCCAAGTCTGTCGCGTTGCAATCAGTATAGCTACATACCATCAGGTAATTCGCACTTCGAGTCTGTCTGGCTAGCAATGGAGTGCACATCTCCGCCGCCATTCTTCGGCCAGGGACGCTCTCCGCCTTATTATGATTGGGCTAATGGAGCTCCACGATCGCAGCCACAGCCGCAGCCCAAGGAGAAGAAGAAAAGCACTTGTGTTATATCATAATTGCACATATATATATTAAGATTATGTTGTTTTTTCATGAAATAACATAGCTACGAGGACTACACAGGACAATCGAGTTCTGTGTTATCCTCTTCAGACTTTTGCTGTATGTCGCATGCTGCAATCGACTGCATACTGTCGGTCAGTCTGCATCAATTGCAACATATTTCATGCAGCAAAAACTTAAGACGAATTTGCAGTATATAATCAGCAAATTCGCATTGGATGGATTAACAGTATTAATGGCGTTGCGAATGCCCATTGTTAATTTGTCAGTTGCGATTTTGTGTGAGTATATAGTGCTTTTACATATATATATATATATATGTATATGTACATGGGCATGAATCCCAATGAATTTCATCCATGTACATATTCACTAAAAGACAAAGCTAATTTGCTTAACAAATTGATTCTTTTTCGATATTTATAATTTGAAATTTCAAAATAAAGACAAGGGTTGGGGCTTTGAATTGTGTGTGGCTCTATTGCCAAACTAATTCATCCCTTTAAGAATGAAAGGATAAGATAAAAGAATTGCAAAATTAAAGTATATCAGAACTATTCATATAATAACCGACATTTATAATTAACCATTTTGTATTTTCAATGTAAGAAAGATGGAAAGAAATCTGCTCTATGTTACCCGAAATCAGTAATAAACCATATTTTTTGAGCAAACCAAGATGTAATCTATTTTTATGGCCATGTAAATGGAATGTATGTATGATACAACAATGATAGATTATTTGTTGTAATTGAAGCTAATAGTGTGATGTACATGTATATCTTAAGTATGATTGTTCTAAATATAAACAGATTCAGGACCAGAAAAGTGTAAAATGCTTATGCATAAGAGCATACGAAACGCTCGTAACTATATTACATTATCCAGTTTTGTGAAATAAATCACATGTAAAGAACGAAGCTGGCTTTGCGAAAGTAAATGCTTCAAAACTCAGATAATTTTATTTCGTTGCAAAGGAGCCACATAACATTTTTATAAAATACTGTATACATGGTTCGAGGAAATCGAGTAAATTCACGTAGCTCTTAAAATTATAATAAAGTGAAGCAATTGCTAGATTATTCAAGGAATCCGCAAAGATTGTGCGCCTAACGATCGACATTCACATTTGCAATATGACTGCGCGCGGTAAATTGGCCACGCCCACTGCAATGTCCACGCCCATGGGCATGGCCCAACCGAGATTGAATTACAATCGGACCACAAATGAGACGTTGCGTGGCACCAGATTGGCGACGCCACTATCACCACACAAGACCGGGAAAGCAGGTCGATGCATCGGCGGTGATGGCGATGGTGGCACCGCTGCCTGGAAGAGAACCAAAACCACAGAGGTGTCGACCATAAACCGCATGGAGCTGACGTCACGGCTGGAGAAGCCAACGATTGCCTCAACGTTGCGTTCAGCCAGCAATCGTGGCAGAGTAATGGCCCAAAAGGCAGCGGTTCCTCGCAAGCCAGCAACACCGAGAGCCGAAACAAAGTGCTTAGATACCACATCGAAGCAAGGTATGCCGCGCAAGGCAGGTGGTGGGAAAAAGGACAGCCTAACGGAGGGACAGCACGACTCCGCCAGGGTGGCGAAACACCCAATGTCAGAGATGGGCGTGCAAACGAATGAGGCGGAGATACTGAATCGCGATCTGCTCGTGGGAGATATAAAGCTGCTGTTGCCCTCCCCGGAGCTGGCGAAAGAAATCGAACTGGCCCGGGCTGAGCAGAAGAAATCGTATAAATCAATGATACGTACATTTTCACCTCACGAGCAGGATGAGGAGCAGCACTTGGACGAGTTGAAGCAATACATGGAGCGCACTTATGTGACCAGGCGCAAGCCCAAAAAACCACCAATGCCGACGTTGGCCAACTATGAGCCTCATGAATATAGCAGCGTATTCGAGACGATGGATGAGTTCTTTACACGCGAAGTGCAGAAAGCCGAGTCCCTAACGAACATCAAAGATCGCATTAAGCGCAAGGAATTGGAATTGATGAGCATGTTCAACGAGGTGGAAGTTAGTGAAAAGATCGAAACTGATTCCGAAGGGGATTAGAATCAAATTATTATAAGTATGTAACTCTCAGATATATATTGCGAAAAAAATGACACAAATTAATTGAATACAAAAATAAATTCAAGTAAAAAAAATATCACTTGTGTCTTTCACCTATTTTTTCAAATATTCTTAAAAATGTATTGATTTCACTAGAAGTTTTATTTATAGATGTAATATAATTTATTGCAATAGAATTTATTTTAACTTTAATGATGTTGATCAATGAATTGAGTTGAATTGTGGATAAAAGTAGGCTAACTGCCGAAATTGCGGGCAAAAAACAGCTTTTGATTAACTTAACAGTTTTAATCTTGATTTCATACAAATTTCCCCAATTCTGTTCTGGGAAATGTAATTATCCTCTAAGTACATGTTTACTCTGAGTATTTCTTCCAAATGTTAAATACTGCTTCCATATATTTTCTCAAAGTATTTCCTATAAGTGTTTCCTGTACTTATTTCCTTTAAATATTTGCCCTAAGTATGTCTTCTAAATATTTCTTCTAAACATATCTTCTAAATATTTTTTTATGTATTTTTTATGTATTTATATAGGGCACACTTTATATAGGGCGACTTTCACTCAATGTCAATTTATTTCGATAAGATTGGCATCACTTCAAAAAATACTTCACCTGCTGTAAGACTTTTAAAACACGCGCCGCTAATCGACGAATGCAAAGTTCTGTTATCGATAGGCAGTGACCAGTGTATACACTCTCGTTTGTGACTAGAGTGATTCATCGCATTTAGCAGCTGTTCATTTGGTAATACCACTAATCATACAATACGAAATTGGCATTTTCACACTGGGTTTGGTTGGCTCTGAAGCATTCTGACAAATTTGTTTAATTTTTAATAACATATAAATTAAACTGACTAGTCGGCCAGTTTAATGTCAACCCACATTTAGAGAGTCTCATCAAGACTCTATTTTCACTCCAGAAACAGAACACCTATTGCTGTGCAATACAAATGCTGTAAGCAAAGGAAAACATTTATTAAATATTCCAACTGCAGCGACTACATTTCCACTAAGAAACATATACATATATTTATATATATCAATATATGTATGTATTTATATAAGTAGGTGAGTAAGTGACGTGAAAAAATTGGCATATGTAGCACGTGATTCACAACAACTCCATCCACCAACAGACAAAGATGACGCTTAAAGTAACGAAGCTTGCACTAACGAGTCGCCTCATCGTCCTGGCTGTTCAAATGTTGGCCAATTGGGTTGTGCCGGATCATAAGCCGGATGTATTTCGCATGCCAATGCCCATAGTGAATGCCACGGTGCCTGTACATGGTCTGGACACACTTGTGACGACCTGCTTGGGCGGCTTGAGGCACTGGGATGGCGAATACTTTCTGCATATAGCCTACTATTTGTATACCTACGAGAATACGCTGGCCTTTTATCCACTGTATCCGGTGCTCATACGGAATGTGGCCATGGTTTGTGAGACCTTAAATGTGCCCATGTCGCAGCACGTCCTCATGCTGTTTATCGCTGTCGTTCTTAACTTGTGGTTCTTCTGCGAGGCGGCCAATTACCTATATCAGCTGACGCAGCGTGTCTTTAACGATCTACACAAGAGTTGGAATGCAGCACTAATTTTTTGCTTCAATCCGGCCAGCATTTTCTTCAGTGCTGCCTACTCGGAGTCGCTGTTCGCCTACGCCAGCTTCATTCTGATGCTGGAATGTGTGCGGCCAAAGCAACAGTATAACTTTGTGCGCATTTGCGTCAGCTTGACCGCCTGCATCATGTGCCGCTCCAATGGATTAATCGCCGTCGGCTTTCCCCTGTATTTCTTTGCGCGCCATTTGATACTCACTGCAAACGTGAAACGCTGCAAGCAGCTCATCAGGATGTCACTGGCAATAATCATCCCATTAGGCGTCTTGCATGCCTATTACTTTTACATATACCGAATGTACTGTATGCCCAGCACTAGAGTGAAGCACCCTGAGCAGGTAGTGCATTACGCCAACGAGAGGAACTATCTGCTTGCCGGAAGGGGACCGGAGGGATCGCCTTGGTGCCAATATACCTTGCCATTCCCCTATAATTATGTGCAATCTACGTATTGGGATGTCGGATTCCTACGCTACTATCAATGGAAACAGTTGCCCAACTTTTTGCTCGCAATGCCCATGTTAGTCTTTATGCACTGGCATTGCTGCGATTATCTTTGGTTTTTGGCCACAAAATTGACGCCTCAGGCTTCAAGCTGGCGGGAGTTGTTCAAGACACAAAAGTCGCTACCATTTGTGCTGCATGGCGCCTTTTTGACCCTCGTCTGTGCCCTGTTTGTGAATATTCAAGTGTCTACGCGTTTGTTGGCCTCGGCTACGCCCATTTTTTATTGGTTTGCTGCTGATCATATGCCAAAGTCGCTGGCGCAACTCTCATTCCGTTCAAAGGCTGGAGCTCTATTTATCTGGTGCACCACGTATTGTGCTTGCGGTACGATTCTCTTCGCTAATAACTTTCCTTGGACTTGAACATTAACTATATATTTATATATATATTTGTCGGGCATTTATATGTATGTATATATACATATATGTATGTATATACATACGCTATATATATGTATTTATGCACGCTATTTTTTTATTATATGCCAAAGAGACTGTATTAGGATTGGATTAGTTTGTAGATATTTTTATAGGTGATCATGTTAATCAGGAAATGACAACCGAAAGTAATTGCACTTTGCTTATAAACTAAATTTAATAAATGTTTAAATCCGATTTTTGCGGGAACACATGCTGGTACGCGAATTTATCGAGAACGGCCATAATATATCGATTATTTTTCTCTACGTATCGTATGGAAATAAAGATTACTATTTTGAATTTTGCGGGGACGGTACGCTTTTAGAAAATAAATATAAATATAAATATAAAACTCATTAAAATTTTAAGTATATAATATAATATCTGCAATTTAATGTATTTTTATGCTTTAAATAAAGCAAATAAGTGCGCCAAAATATAAATATGGAGAGGATAGTTTCAATCAGTTATTGCTGCAATTATCTGTTCTCCGTTGAGATGTGGTCTGCGAGTGCGTTATCAGGATATCAGTTTATTATTTTTCAAAAATTACAGAATAAAGTCAAATGAATTGGAAAAACATCGTCCTTCTACTACAATTCATGCACGAACATCGATAGTTTAATGTAAGGTTGCAAAACATAAATAAATCGATTAGGTTGAATACAAAATAGACCAAATCTAAACAAAAGAAGTTCTCTTGTGAAAAATACGAAACGCCCGCAAAAATGGAACAGCTTTCGGGTGTTATGATAATAATTATCATAGGCGGTGGCGTACTGACTTTTGTGATGCTCTTCATATTTGCCAAACGCCAGATAATGCGGTTCACGCTCCGTAGTCGTCGCGGTCCCCATGTGCCAGTAGGCAATGATGCCAAGAAGGCGTTGCGCCGTGAAATTGAACGCAGATTGGACTGCATACAAAAGATAGCACAGGAGCCAAAGTTGCTATGGACCGATACCGACAAGTATATATTGCAGCCAGGAACGGAGCAGGAACTGCCGCCCTATTACTATCGAATGAAGGCCGTGGACGATGTTAAATTGGTAGAGGCGGAGATAGCGCGTGCGGATGGCAGCATACGTCACGCCCATGAAAGCTTGCGAGCCTTTCTATTGACAACCCTCTCCGTTACGCTTAATGGTACTGGGCAGCGCATAATACATCAGTTCTGCGACACATATGAGCACGCGCGCCACGATCCAAACGAATTTGGAAAGGACGAATACGAGGCGTATCATCATATGCTCCTGAAACTACTGGAAGCGTAAGTCCGCTCAATAAGCGTTTGTCGATTAAATAAAAACTTAACGTTTTTCTTTTTTCATAGTGCTAAGCAGCTTAAAAACTACAATTCTAGAAAGGCTTCGCCTGCACGTACACCACGTAAACAGAAAATGCATTCGTTGCTCGATCCAGCTCGGCTGCGTCCGCCACCCGTCGTGGAGCCACAGAACGAGCTTGCAGCTGGTCAGCATGCCAAAGTGAACATGACGCTGGGACTGCAGGGCGATGAACTGGTGGCTGCTGAGCTAGCCACCAATCCATTGCACTTGCAAGCACCTGCCGAGCGAGATCTTATAATCCGGAACCGTATAAAGACACCCACACTAGATGATATTGTGGTTGAGACAACGGCGGAGCAGCCTCATGGCGATGCGAATACCAGCATTGCGGAGCATGAAATAATGAGCATCTCGTCGGTGCAGCTGCAGCGCAACTCGAGTGTTGTTTAAAGGTAAATTACTTCGATCCATTTACCAACATTTATTCTAAATAGTTATTCTATTCGACTCTGAAAGTTCTTGCATTTACTTTTATTAGCATTTGTCCATCTTTTGCGAATATAAAACTAAATCGAGTAAACGACACGAGTAGCCTGTCTCATTGTCATACCATGAAATCAGCTTTACAAAATTATCATTCAGTGCAATGCACGCATTGGCATCAAACACTGAGGCATAGCGTGAGCCATTCATGTCTGATGAGACGACAGAGTCTTCTGTGTAGCCCAATATGCCTTTCATTCCACCCTTGGAAGCTTCTTTGATAGCCGCCTTGATCTGCTCCATTTTAGCTGAACATCCCAAACGGCAGGTCAAATCGACAACGGAAACATTTGCCGTGGGCACACGAAAAGCCATGCCGGTTAGTTTACCATTCAAGGAAGGTATTACCTTTCCCACAGCCTTGGCAGCTCCTGTGCTGGCGGGGATTATGTTGCACATTCCGCTGCGACCATCGCGCCACGCCTTAGCACTTGGGCCGTCTAAAATCTTTTGCGTGGCTGTGCAGGCATGGACTGTTGTCATCAAGCCTTCCACAATTCCAAAATTATCATGCACCACTTTGGCCACCGGTGCCAGGCAGTTGGTAGTACATGAGGCATTAGATATGATCTTCATGTTTGGCTTGTACTGGTCTAAATTAACGCCGCACACAAACATTGGCGCATCCGACGATGGTGCAGAGATTACCACTTTCTTTGCACCGGCGTCTAGATGCACCTTGGCCGTTGCCAGTGTGGTAAATCGACCAGTACATTCAACCACCGTATCGACTGAATTTTCTTTCCAGTTTATTTTTTTCGGATCCGCTTCGTTAGTGACGTTTATCTTTAGACCATTTACCATCAGAGTCTTTCCATCGATGGTAATCTTCTTCGTGAACGGACCATGCGTCGTGTCGAAACGTAGCATATAGGCCATATATTTGGGTTCCATGGCTGGATCGTTAATTGCCACCACTTGCACATCTTGTCGCCTGATTGCCTCCCGTAGGAACAAGCGCCCGATGCGGCCAAAGCCATTAATGCCGATTGACATAACTGCTAAATTTTATAGTTAGGTTACACAAATTAAAGACGTTTTCTCTCCGTGCACAATTTCATAAATTGCCTTCTTTTTGCTCAAGTTACACTTCTAAGAATTTGAAAAAATTTAAAAGTTGAAAGCAAAGTAAATCAATAACTAATTTATATAAATAATTTGTCATGCCAACTTGACGGAATTTCTAAAGCTTGTATGTTTTACTTTCGTTTATTTCCAGACATTCCCAGATGTCGGAACGCTCATCTGCGTAAATACTAACCAAAGTTGAGGTAAAATAGGCACATCATGTCATTTATTTCTGTTAGTTTTTCGTATATGTTATATTATTATGTTCATATAATTTTAAGATAATATATAAGTAATTAAATCTAATTGAATGTATGATCGTCATTACTGAGACTATGTAAATATAATTATAATTATTTGATCCTAATTTAATTGTGTTTAGATGTAAGCAATAAAACTCAAGGTAATTATATTTCTCTTGGTTCGTGCTACTTTCGCATACGTTTAGTAAATATTGTATTTCAAAATAAAAAAATTATGTAATAAACAATTTTTAGAAATCCACAAATGATATAAAGAAATTTCAACTTACGTGGATTTGTATTAATGACTGAATACTCATTATTAATCTGTTTTGTATTTAATCAATTATATCCTGCTCCACCCATGTGCACTTTAATTACTTAGTTCAACAACTATTGTGAAGAGTCACAATTGTGTCCCTCCGATAGAGAATTGAAAAATATTGAAAATAAAAGCTGAGGCAGTTAAATGAATATACCCATTACATATTCGCTAGATGTGGGTTATTTTCTTTGATTCAATTTACCGTGGCTAATTAAATTGATCTCCTTATCGTATCAAGCTTTTGATGAATCTGAGGAGATTAAGAGATATCACAGCCATCTCCATCTATAGATGGTATTTCATTGATCTTATGTGAAGTCTTAAAAAACTCTTGGCCTAGTGGCTTAAGGCTTTTTGAAGTTAATTTTACGGTCCAGTGTTAAAGCTTTAATTTATAAAATTTATAAAAGACTTTAATTTATAAATGTTCATTATTCATTGTATTTGGCTTGCCATCGGTCTATTGTTAGGGTTTCGGTAAAAAAAAACGTCATTTTGAAAAAAAGGCGACTCAAAATGCAAACCTGAAAAAGTTTTTGTTGAGAAAGGTGAAGAATTTTTTGAGAAAAGCAGCGTAGATAAGGTTGTACAGTTTTTTGCCAAATGCGTACACTCGTGCTGTGACTCGGAAGTATTAAAAATAGCTCAAATCCTGTATGCGATTCCTGGCCACAATGCAAATTGCCTTACTAAAGACGCAGTGGTCGGACGAAAGAAATACATAAGTTACTGGTGGAGAATGCTAAAAACATTCATATTGTTCAATATAATTGGCGGACATAAGTTGTTCCCAGTTTTATAATATATAGATGAATGATATGATGTATGCTAGGAAAAATAGGCAGTGTGGAGAAGTACAAGTGAGGCAATCATGCATATAACAACAATGAATTGTATGTATGGATGTACTTCTAGTGAAATTAGTCCCAATAGAATGTAATGATGCTAAATATGAAGAATGAATATGACCGTCCCGGAAAGGCCTGCAGCCCAGATGGTAACCCTATCAAATTGTATTGTATTGTATATTGTGTCTTAAGTTGGGTTGGCTAGCCCTCAGATATCTGCAGCTTTGCTCAATGACTCAATGAACGTGGAGCACACATAAATTGTTTTTCGCTGTGGCCAATGGCCAGATGCCAATTTCGTCGGCGCACACATGAAAGATTTTTTCGAAATCTATGACAAGTGAGTGTGTATAAAAAGTGTTGGCATGTGTGCGTGTGTTTATGCGTGTGTGCGTTTGTGTTTTGTAGTTGGTATTTTGGAAATGCTGCTGGCTAAATGTGGGGAAATCCATGTGCGGACAGCAGAGCCTGCTTCTATTCATGCAATTCAAGCCTTCCGGCTAGTTTTTGGCATGTTTGCTTATTGCAGCGCCAGCAAAGGCCTCAGTCTCAGCAGCCTGCGCATATTTAATTGACCAAGCCATATAGAAAGTCAAAGTAGAAATTGGTAATATAGAATAGCGCAATCTGTAACGAAACATGTGAAAAAGTATGGCAACAAAAGGTAAGCAAAAAATGCTGGAAAAATTTCATGAATACTTTTGAATAATTAATCAAAGCTTTAATACTTGGTTGGCTGAAATTGAAAACAAAAAAGTATAATTTTTGATACGAGCTCCAGTGTTTCGTTTCTACAGGCCATTGCGTAGTCGCTTTTAGCTAACAGTTCTTTGCTTAAACATTTAATTGGCGTCTTGTTAGTCAGCAACATTTTATTGGTTAGACACACAACTGCTTATAAATCAATCGAACGAAGCCAGCTGCCATTCACATGCTGAATCCGGAGCCGGAGCTGGGTCCGGGACCTAGGCAAGGGTCGGGGTTGGTGCGAGGCCAGGGCAAAAGGTGTTTGTACAAAATGCAAATGCGTGTCCCTAGAACAACGCACACAAAATCAGCTGCGTTGCTGTGGCATGGGCGCCATTACTCACCTTTGTCTGCCAAGCGGCCCCCCATCACCGCATGCATAGCTGATGTATCAAAATTTCGCTTGCCGAAATGGAGCCCCAGGGGCAGAGTTTCTGTTGAGGGGGCATGGCCCAAACCACTTTGTATGAAGAGTGAAGCGCTCTCAAGCATTTCGAATGAAAGAAAGTTTCTGCGCGTCGAAGTTTATGAGTTGAGTTCTTGGCCAAATGCATACAACATCCAACTTAAAACCTTCCACTTTAATCTATAGATTGTCAACTTTACATTGTTTCGCAGCTTTGGCAACATGCTGCCAGAGGTGCGGCAGCATGTTGCTAGGCGTCCGACGCCCACACAAGGCGATTTGCTCTCTCTTGTGATAGCTGTGGCTCTCCAGGCACTCGCCGAGGTGAATTTTGACCCCGGACCTAAAAATGGGGGCGCCTATTACGAAATTGCAGAAGATTTAGTCCATATATAATATACATATTTATATATTGAAACATTCTATTTCTGATCCGGTCTGATCATAAACCCGAGCAAAATGGAAATTGGGAGTCATGTTAACAGCGGACTAGGCATGCAGTTCGGAAACGGAAGCGAAAACTTTGTTGCATTCCTTTTACTTGTATTTTTATTTTACTGCTCAAATTTATGCGCAAAACTTTAAAATTGAAACTGTTTTTCGTTCCGACTGCAGCGACACGAGCAAAGTTTTGCATTAAAAATTGCATCAAGTGTACGCCAAGGTTAAAACCAGCAAGTTTTTATGCCAACTGTTTGGCCAAGTTGAAAGCAACATTTTCCTTTGTTTAATGATGGCTTCATTTATTTAAGTCGAATATCGCCGACGCTACCTAAAACCCCCGATGGCACTTTAACTTCTTTGGCTCAGTGCAGTTTGAGTCAAAATTCCAGCTAAATTTCAGCTTTGTGATGATTTGACTTAAAGACAGTTTAATAACGTCATAACTACAAATATCTAAAAAAAAAAGTTTGCTTGCGGTTGTTATAAAAAAGAGTTTGTTTTGTGTTCCTGTGTGAACGGGTGACTTAATAATATAGTCAATGCTTATATAAAACTCTATTATTGTTACTTTTATTGATTTTGTATAAGAAGCAAGTTTTTATTCTCAATATAATTTTAAAAAATAAATGAGAGAGCAGACATATTTTTTTTTTTTATAAATTATTATTATTATAATTATTTACACAAAATGCAAGGCCTTTAAAAAAAACACAGTTTTTCTACTGTATAAACTTAATATACGCACAATTGTTGATTTCATTATAATGACATTCGGGTTGCCTGTAAATCGTTTCTTGACCGCCTAAACACAAAATTCTAGACAAAAGTTAATCTGTTCGAATAAATGAAGGTTGATATTCCGTTGTTGATTGAATTAAAATCAGTGCTCAAACCGAATTAATGTCCTTTTGATTAAGTTACTTATCGACTGCTAACTCTGTATAGTAAATACTTGAATGGCTTTATTAAGCGAGCTCGAATAGTTCGTTATATATTTAATGGAAGGAGCAGTAGCTAATATTAATATAAAATAATAAGAAATGGTTCTGCAACAAACGGTCCACCTTAAATAAAAACTGATTGATTTTTAATAGTTTAATAAAATACATAGTTTAGTAGTTGTCTAAACAACTCATGCGAGAATATTTATGCTTAATATATATTTAAAATTTATTTAAAGAGTTTTACCAGTTGGGGTCGCAGTTAAATGTGTCTCTCGGGTGCCTCTACAACGTATTTATGGGCCACTTGTTGTATCGGGCACTGGAACTAAATAAAAGAGACGACATAGTTGAGGATGAACATTAATAGAGCAACTTTAGGAGCCAATAACATTAAAGCCAATAGCAATAAATTGCAGGGTTGTGAGCAGGCGTTGACAATGGCCAAATTGCTGGCAGCTTAACTGAAGCAGCTAGAGCAGTAAGCCGTGGCTTTAATCGCATTTGGCCTATATCGTCAGCAGATAAAAAGAAAAAGCTGCTGATGCAAATCAATGCATAATGTAAGAGCAGCAACAGAAATTGTCGTCGCTGATACAGCAGCAGATGATGCAATGAAGTTTGCCAAAAAATAGGCAAATAATTCAAATTTAAATGCAGCCTGCAGCTGAGAGTGCGATTGGGATACGGATAGCTCGACTACAAATTGAATTGTCAAGCACAACTGCTGCAGCAACAGAACAAAGCCCCGTCCACAAAAGAGAGCAACTGCAGCAGCGATGCTGCGGCACTCACTGCGACGCAGAACAGCACAGACATTTCTCTCTAATTGTGCGCTCAAGTGTTCTGCATACAGCCTGGTTACGAATTTAAATCAAAAGATCTATGCAGGCGGGAGACAACTCGGGGGAGAGGGTACTTCTCCAAGTGGCTATGGCCAATTCCTTTCGGCTCAGAACAAAAACTTTACACTGCTTTTGGCTGCATTATTCGACGACATAGGCAACAGAAATGGACAGTCAGTTTACGACCAGAGCAGTCCAGACCAGAAAAGATGGCTCAAATTAGGCTAACTGCACGGCGTGCCATGCACCCTGTAGAGGGATCAGGCTGTCTGGAATGCGAAAGATGCTGGAGCATTGGCCTGACTAAATTGCAGACAGTGAATTGAAAGTGGACAGTGTTTTGCTACATACACTGAGGGAAATTAGCCTTGACATTTGTATTATCATGTATTGGTGTGAAGTTTCTATTAATTACAATGCAATTAAAATAAATAAGTATATATTTAAGTATAAGTATATTTTTCAATTTATAAATAAGAGAGATGAAATTGAAAGATTTCTAGCATTTATGTGTTTATGTGCCTGTAAGTAATTTCTTCAAATAAATAAGTGGATATTTATTATTCAAATATAAATAGAATGTACACAATAAGAATTACATAGTCAGGCGAAAT